ACCATGGAGTCTACTGCAAGTGGGCTGTCAGAGATTGGATTGGAGGATTGCTATTCTCTATTGACGCGCAGCAATCGACGAGAGTGTGAATTTGCATCTACTGCAACTATGAACTGCATAGCAGCTCGACCACCTTATCCATCAACAGCCTCCTTAAGCTCCAGGATTTGGACCATCACCTGTGATTTCTGCTAAGAGGATGCTCTTTTGCTCTTTCCTTTTCTGCGCATATACAATTGTTTTCCAAATTGAAATGTGCGCCCATTTGTTAAAAAGGTGCTATTGGCCTTTTGCCTACAGGGATGGTATGGAGTGACCTAAAAACTGATTTTGTAGCAGCCTTATGCACCTAGGATTGAATTTGTCTTCAGTTCTCCCCCTGAGTCAGGTGCAAAAGCAGGCAAGAGTAGAAGGAATGGTAAAACAACATTAGAAAATACGTTATGGACTTGTCTTTTTCTGCTGGAAGTCTCCGAGTTAGACGCAGGAGCGTAGCTGAGGCATGCACTGCCTGGCACAAAAATGTGTGTAGTGTATAGAATAGCAGGGATGTTAGAAGTGTGGTACGGATGTAACGGAGACAAACAGAAGAAAACATTCTACATGGAGATTTCTCGATGGAAGAAGAGATAGGAATCATGCCCCTCGGGAGCACTATGCCGAATCATTTTGTAAAATTTATCAATTCGGATGTGGTTTCTTACTATACCGATCCCCCTTGTACCCTGCAAATGCCCTATCCCTTGCAGTATTCTTGGAAAAGGTATGAATCATTGACCTCACGATTGACATTCACTGGAATGCAGTACTGACTGAGAAGTGCAACCACTTCCCAGATAGCAAGAAATTTGCACTAGGTTCTTGACAAATACAGATGTTGCATTCCGACGACTCGTACCGTCACCAAAGTACGGCAGAGGAATCATCATCTACGAGAAAGCGCTAAAGACTGAAATCTAAAGGAATAACCCCAGAGCTAGTGCACTGAACAAGCTATGCTCACAGAATTCATTTCCTCTTTGTTGGCCGATGTAAAGGAGACTGTAGAAATCTGAGTCGGAATTAATGCTCTCACTTCCCATCACCAACTCACGCTGTGCTTCACTTCGGTTCGTGAGGCGAATCTGGTCTCCTACTCCGGGCTGTACAGTGATGATCATCGCTAACGATGAGACACAAGTCACCGACGAGTCAGCCTCTGGTTTAATTAAGTCGTCAGAAGGAAGCGGAACTCTGACTCTAATCAACTTCAGCAGAGATCATCTAAGTTGCCATCAGGCCAAAACTGACTGCTGATTAGGTGGTTGCGGTTTATTTTTCTAGTCACTGTTAGCGATGCAGTAAGCTCACTCACCACTCAAATTGGAGTGACTTTATTGCAACGACCTCTAATCAAAAATTTCTGTTCTATTTAGATTAAGGTGGCTAGCATTTTAGTATTCTGTGCTTCTCCTCTTGTACGGACGCTGCAAATTATTTTGCATCACATCGTGTCCGCATATTTTCTTGCACCACA